TGATATTCCTCTGTGACTATTATTTGCTACAAGGAATAATAATTAATTGAATGTTATAAAAGTGAAATAATTTCTTATAAGTGAATTTTCTCATAATAAAATATAATAAAATGCATAATGATAAAGAAATCCGTCAACATTATAACCTTTGTCATAAAAATTTCCTTCGCCATAAGCTTTGGGTATGTTAATTATAATGAAGCTCAAAATTTCATCTTTAATTATTTCACTTTTATTCAAAATTAAAAGTTATATTCTTCAATTAAAGGATAGTGGTTGAAAAAAAAAACATAAATTCAACAGCAAATAATTTATACATAATACATGAAGACAAATCATAAGGCCTTGTCCAAATATTGAAATGATTTTACTCATATGGGTTGTATATTACGAAGCCTTAGTGTCAATGGCAAACATTAACTTAGGAGGCATCAAGGTTGACGTGGATGGTAGGAGTGAAGATTAACATAAACCACAAAAGTGTCGACTAATATATCATACCAAGATGAGATGGCAATGGGGAGTACACATATCAATGATTCGTGGAGACATATATGAGAATATGATGCCGATCGATGTTGGTTATTCGATGGCAAAAGGGCTTTAAATAATGAGATACTATAAAAGAACGGGGGTAATTCTCTAAGAGACTCTTTTATCCATCATATGCTTCTTGCTATGCTTTGTGTTCTCCTTTTTTTTTTTTTTTAATCTTTCTTTTCTTTTAACTCTATAACCTCTAGGTTTGCCATGTTGCCTAGTTAGCAGCGTCATTATTGAACTCAATGCATGAAACATAGCTAATGATGATGAGGCATTGCAAGGCCAGTAATGTCGTGAGAGGTAGCATCTTGAAATTTTGATGTTAACTGAGCTGATTTTTGGGGTTACAAAATGGAGGTTTTTGGCATAATGATATTGACATAAATTGGCCTTAATGACAGCGAGGGAATCAACCTTATTCCAATGGTTAGTGCAGCCTTGAATCTTGATGGCGATGATGATAGTCAAGTATTGATATGCAGATTTTGAAACTCTCTTATATGAAATCCTTATTATGACCTCATGCCAATAAATGAATGTATGGTTTATTTATATACTTATATAGAAGGGTTTTACCCACCGATGTTTAGCTTGGTTAGTTGGCGAGTATAGTTGGGAATCCCCAAACCTGTGTTCAAATCCTCTCGAGCGGCAGCGCTTTTTAAATGGGGTCCCAATAAGTGCGGGCCAGGAGGTTATTTGGAGTGGGTGCCTCTTCTAGATCAGCCAAGGAATTAGTTACGCCGCCAAGCGCCTCACAAACTGAGATGATAGCGGTTAGATACCCCTGTTCAAAAAAAAAAAAAAAAAAAAAAAAAAAAAAAAAAAAAAATATATATATATATATATATATATATATATATATATATATATACTAATATATATATATAAGGGCTTTCTGTTATTATAATAATAAATTAAATAATTCTGGAATAGTCGTGGTGTTCCCCTGTGATCATATGGTGTGATCTTACCTGATCACACATAGTTTATTTTGGACATTTTAGAGTGTATTTG